GTTTGTGAAGTCATAACATTATCCCTGGACTATAAACACTTGCTATACTAGTACATTGAACAGAAGCTTAAGAAAAAAAACGGAATTTTAAAATGTTTTAAATGATTCCCTATTAGAAATCCAAAGGACATAGAACAGCTCTAAGAAGCAGAAACTAAAAAGTAGTGCTGTATAGCTCTCCAACTGGTTTCTCTAATATTTCTGCCTAAGAACTAAGACTACTAGATTTCTGATTTTAAGATTAAGGCAAGTGTGACGAACAAAGTCCAAGAACCAAAGAGGTTGATAATCCTTCAAAGGTGAGGTTTTAAACTATATAGGTATATAGGTATTCCTTTCAAAAGGTGGTAAATATCTGATGGTAACAGTAAAAAGATTATAGAAAGTTGGAGAAAGTGAATAAAGAATTATAGTCCTGAAAAGTGTTTTAAGTACAATTCCTTCTACTTTTCTTACAGAGACATTAGGTTTCTAATTTTGTCCTACAGTTGCCTCTCACCAAGCAAAATCCCCCTCAAAAGTGGTTCTAGATCCTTAGTATTCTTGTGATCCCTTTAAATTGGAACAACACATTACCATTTTTAAAAAGTGTCTGCATCACAGAGCTACACTTCACAACGTTGTACTCCAGGGGTGCCTGGGTGACTCAGTCGGTTGAGTGTCTGACTTCAGCTTGGGTCATGATCTCACAGTCCGTGGGCTCGAGGTCCTCATCGGGCTCTGTGCTGACAGCTCAGAGCCTGGAGCCTGCTTCAGATTCTGTGTCTCCCTCTCTCTGCCCATCTCCTACTCCCGCTATGTCTCTCTCTTTCAAAAATAAAAAAACATCGGGAAAAAAAAAAAAAAAAGAAAGCACAATATGTACTCCATTCAATGGCACACACAGCCCCTGGGTGTGAGCAATCCAAACCACAGAACAAATATGGTTCATCTTCCAGGGGCATCAATTTTAGTCAAGATATAGATTGGAGGAATTTTTACTTATGAAAATACTACTTTTTAAAAATGATTCTAATTTTATGTAATCTCTACACCCAACATGGGGTTCAGACTCACAACCCCGAGACCAAGAGTCACATGTTCTACTGACTGAGCCAGCCAGGTGCCCCTGAAAACATTTATAAGCCTAATACCAATATCAATGTTTAAAATAACATGTGAAATTTCCAAGAAATTTCTCACACTAGACCACTTTAAGAGACACCTCAAAGCCTCAAGGAAAGAGGAGGTATTAAGTGGACAGTTTGAAAAGTACTGGTCCAGGAAAAAAAATACTGGTTTGGAAACAAAAAACGGGATTTTTTTTTTTTTTTTTAGTTTATTTATTTATTTATGAGAGAGAGTGAGCCAGAGAGAGCAGGGGAGGGATAGAGAGAGAGGGCAGAGAGACTCCTAAGCAGGCTAAGCGCTGTCAGCACAGAACCCGATGTGGGACTTCATCTCACAAACCCTGAAATCATGACCTGAGTCGAGATCAAGCATTGGACACTTAACCAACTGAGCCACCCAGTTAAAAAAAGTAAACTGTAAAGTAAAAAGTAAACTGTTTTTAACCATTAATTATTTTTTGTAAAGTTTTAACAGACACTGAATCTTCTAGGAATATAATAAACATATAAACTGAAGTAAGTATTTTGATTTCTTGAAAACTTTACCTAGGGTTATTCATTACTCCCCGCCCTCTCCCCCCCAAAATCACACTATCATAGCAATTCCAACTGCAAAACTCGATCTGCCAATGCTATACGCATGAAGAGTGAAATATGCAACTAAGATTGAAGACTATTTTAACAGTTTAGAACCAACTGTCATTACATTGGCAATTAGCAGATATAAAACATGGCATCACAGAATTTCATTAGTAATTTTGCTGTTAAAAAGCTTCATATTATCTCTCAAAAAGAAATAAACACTTTAAATGCTTATGTTATTGTCATCCTTTTTGGTATGGCACATAAAGCAATTTATGTTGCAAAAATTATATACTGACATTATTTATTAATTTACTTTAGCACTGCTTGTTAGTTTTCAATCTTACTGATACTGTCACTGGAAGCCCACTGCACAAATTCTCTATGGCTTATCAATATTTCTTTTCCCAATTCATCCTTTGCCTCTGTTTCTTTCAAATGTAATAATGTTCAAGAATAATGTTTTGTGATACCAAATAACTACACTATTCCATATCATTACATAAAGAATTATTGTGACACTATATAATAAGGCCAGCTTATCTGTAAGAATATCATACTTTCTTTTTCTCCAGCTTAGTACTCTGAAATTAAAGCTACTTCTCTCTTGTCATATTTAAGTAAGTCCTATTTGTTATTCTTTATCCTAGTGCTAGTTTTTACTTTAATGTCCATTCATAATGCTGCTCTTTTATTCTCTTGTACTTCTTATACAAAATGTTTTGATGTTCTTGCTTTTAAATTCAAACTTACTCATTATAAGTAGGTGCAAAATCTCAATACTATATTGTGTCTTTTCGCATAATATTGCATGCATATTCAAAACACATATTGTTTTATAATAAACTACCTTCCCATTATGGGAATCATTTTATGGCTAACAAATTATTTATATTGATTTTTGTCACTGAGTACAGATAAAGAGTATAGGTAAGTCATATTACTTATGAATTTCATTTTAGAATAGTTAACTACAGAATACAAAAGTGGATGCTGCCTGCTTTAAACCAAGCAAAGATTTCAACAAATACATGATGTTTCTTCAAAAGACCAAGAACGCTCATGGTGAAACTTCTTTTTTTAAGTTTATTTATTTATTTTGAGAGAGAGTGCACGCAAACAGAGGAGGGCAGAAAGAGGAAGAAAGAGCGAGTCCCAAGCAGGCTCCACATTATCAGCACAGAGCACGATGCAGGGCTTGAACTCACAAACCGTGAGGTCGTGACCTGAGCCAAAACCAAGAGTTGGGTGCTTAAACGACTGAGCCACCCATACAGCCCTCATGGTGAAACTTTTAAGGAAGAAAGTTTCCACGAGAGCAAAGATGATGGGAAGATTCAGGAAAAGACATGGTAATAATAAGTACAGTATCAAGATGCAGGGGAGGAACTATAAGCACTGACTGACACTAAGTGTGATAAGTTTTGACAAAACTTCCAGGAAAGCAAGCCATAGATAAGTATTAGCGACCACACAAGACTTAAAAGGAAGAAGCTGTCTTTGAAAAGGTTCACCTCAGGGCAGGAAGTACTTACTGCAGGAAGGACTTACTGAAGAATTTTTTTTTTTTAATGTTTATTTATTTTTGTGAGAAAGAGCACAAGCAGGGGAGAGGCAGAGAGAGAGAAAGAGGGAGACACAATCTGAAGCAAGCTCCAGGCTCCAAGCTGTCAGCACAGAGCTGGATGCAGGGCTTGAATCCCCAAAACCATGACATTATGACATGAGCCAAAGTTGGATGCTTAACTGAGTCACCCAGGAGCCAGAAGAAAGAATTACTGAAGAAATAAATAGCCTTCTCTCCTCTATCATTTACCAAAGATTTTTCTGAGGCAGCCGAACAATCAGCCTGAAAATTTTCAAAAAGATAACTGATTTTGAACATCATTTAAAGTTCCCTGAAATTGCTGATTCTAGTGAAAGCCTAAATGGCCTCATATTTTAAGAAGACCCAGTCAATCTAGTCCGTGCCATATTTCCTCCAGCAGAAATACTCAAAAGGAACCTTTGTTACAAAGCTTTTATGCTAAATTTTGGGTTTTCATAATAAATATTTATAAAAATATATTTGAATGATGTACCACTTAGTTTCATGGTGAATTCTGTTCATTTTATGGTTGAAATGGGTTTCCTTGTTTTAACCCATGAAATCTTTAGGAAAGAAATGATTTCTTACCACTCTGTTTGTGACCACTGTCCAAAAACCAATTAGGGCCTAAGTTCAGGATCACCTATAGTCATTTTTCAAAACTTCTTTTCATTTACATCATTTCGCTATTTAATTATGACCTGAAAATCTTTTAAAATCTACCATCTGTGGTCATTTTTCAGAAAATTCTATGTAAGGGTGTAACAAAGACTGCTGAGTGGTGAAGCTGAGTGGTGGATTAAATGAACTGAAAGGGGGAGACTATAAGAAGTCATGAAATAATGAAAACATGCCTAGAATTGAGAGAGAAACAACAGAAACAAATCTTTAAAGACTTAATTTATAAAAAAGAAAGAGGAAAATAATACAAGTGTATAAAATGGTGTTCTTCCGGAAATGAGTACATATGTGTATGACAAACAGTAGAGAAAAAATAAATTGAAGAAACTGTAGAAATTTTCCTAAAAAATAAACCTCAATCACAAATAGTTTGAGTACTTTAAGCCAAACATGCTAAGACTGAGAAAAGAGCTAGATCAAATCTAAAATCACTATTAATTAACCAAAAAGGACAGATCATCATATTGTACTCCATAAATTCAGAATAAAATACAGAACACACCAAAATTAGAGATCTGGAAGAGCTAGGAGGCATGTACAAGAAGGCAGAATTAGTCAGAGGTTCATAATCCTCGTATGTCTAAATCAAGAAGTCGTGCATCCGAATAGCTTACATTCACGAACAGTCACTGAAACTAATGGTTCTCTAATTGTGATGTGGGTGTCTCCTGGAATATGCCAACCTCCTCTTCTCAAGGCATTTGTTTTATTTGCAGTATTAAAATACATGTGGATATATAATAAAGAATACCAAATGTGTATTACTTTCAATGACAAAATTCAAGATTTCAAACAAAAATCTGTTTTCTTTGCTCAGCATGGTAATATTAGTGATCAGATATCCTGGTGGGAAATTCATAACTGCAACTTCAGATATAGTTTAAAGAAGGCAATAAATTGTTTTAGGAGTTAAGTTTCACAGTAATGAGCACATTGAAATGTGTATTTGCTTATCTCAAATAACCCAATTATTTATCAATTATGACCAAATCCTAAAAGGCCCAAGTGCTCCCAAAGAAGTACTTGAAGGAAATACTTACTTAGGAAACCAATTTAATCCCAGGTGCTCTGTCTTGGAATATAATATTCTTTCCACCATGTCATAAAGTGGTCTCCAAGGTAACTCCAAATCATCTCTTGAAAGAAGTTCCTTTTTCCTAATTAAAAAAAAAAAAAGTAAACATATATGCATATATTCATGTGCAGTTGTTTGTATATTACCGCTACCACACAAGGACGACAGTTGTTAAATGTTGCTGTCATCCTGGTGGGCCTTGCTTTTCCCCATCCATGGCAACTCATTGGTAGAACGCAGCAGTAGGAAGAACAATGCACCAGATTCTTATTGCTGCTCACATCTCAAAGAGCACCAGGTAAAAAGGGTCATTTACATTTGTGCCCCCATTATTGCCAATGAATTTCTTATTTTTCCATGTCATTGATGGAGTACTTAATGTTTCCAGCATTGTTCTGGGTTTCCAGGAATAAGAAAAGAATAAGTGATCCATGTCTTCTCAAGGATCTTACAACATATATCAGAGAACTAGTTTAAACAAACATCAGGTAACATATAGTTCAGTGTCTGCTACAAAACAGAAGGCTTCATCGAGGAGATGGAATTTTAATTAATTAACACATATAGCTTAAACTTATGATAGAGTTTTCTGCAATCTTTTTGTTAACTGGAAATTTGGGACTTGGGTCTTCTTACCAAAGAACACTTAGCTCTCATTCCCTAAAACCTTGAAGAAACAAACCAAAAAATGTTAGCAGAAACCATAGGAAATTTACTTACTTTAACAAGTTGATCAAGAGACGGGCAAATCCCTGCATCATGCTGATTTCCAGTTTTGGAATTGATACCAGCTCATACAATAACTTGATAAAAAGAACATGATCTTCTTTGCTAAATTTTCTCCCATAAAGTCGAATATATCTGCAAAAAAAAAAAAAAAAAATCAATACAGCCTTCAAAAATAAGTATGGTGACACATCCATATTCACAGTAGCATTTTTCATAATAGTCAAAGTGTAGAAACAATGTAAATGTCCACTGATGGATGAATAAATAAGGATAATGTAGAATACACACGCGTACACACACAATGGATTATAAAGCCTTTTAAAAAGAGATTTCTGTCATATGCTACAACATGGAGGAACCTTGAGGACATTATGCTAAGTAAAATTAGCCAATCATAAAAGACAAACGCTGCATGATTCCACATATATGCAGTATCTAAAACAATGAAACTCACTGAAACAAACAGAATGGTAGTTGCCAGGAACAAGTGGAGGTGGGGCACACAGGGAAATGGAGTTATTCAGTGGGTACAGGAGACATGATGAACAAGTTCTGGAGATCCGTTGTACAACAACGTACATATAGTTAATGATACTGAACTATATACTTAAAAACTGTTAAGAGGATAAAATTATCTCTTTTTGCCACAATAAAGAAAATATGTGGGGCGCCTGGGTGGCTCAGCCAGTTAAACGTTCGACTTTGGCTCAGTTCATGATCTCATAGTTTGTGGGTTCAAGCCCTGTGTTGGGCTCT